CTCGATGATGGCTCCCTCACCAACTCTTGTTCTCATTCCTAAGACCGTGCCATCTATCGTGCATTTCTGTTTGAAAGGAACACAAGAATCAACAGATCAAACAGGTTTGCATATTTCGTCAGTGAGTATGAATGAAAAATTTATATATGTATTGGAATTCTGCTTCTTACTCTGAGAATGCAACCGTCCCCAATGACAGAATCTGTAATAACAGCATCAGTTATTAGAGTTGGAGGCAGACTCCGAGGTAAAGTGTACACTGGAGAATCTATGGCGTAGAAGCTGTTAACAAAAGATGATGCATTCAGTAAAAGGATTTCTTTACGCCTTTTCTGATATTTGAAGGTAAGTACCTATATGCATTGTTTGTTTTTCTGGTGCTTTCCATGTTAGCGCGGTAGTATGCTCCTATGCTTCTCATGTTCTCCCAGTAACCATCAAATTTATAAGCACAAATCTAGTCGTTGCATGAAAAGAAGATTTCCACAGAATGAGAGCAATTTAGAAGAAAACTATGTGGTCTTGCAAAAATCAGAAACACCAACCTTCATTCCTAGGGAAATTGCACCTGGAATTACTTCACTTCTCAAGTTATTCGCAAAAGGAAAATATTCCTTCAGGAGCTGTCTCATGACATTTTTGTTAATGACATAGATTCCCATGCTTGGGAAATTATGATGAGCAATATCATTGAATTTCACCGAATTCTTTTCCTGAACATTCGAATTACTATGAAGTATCTGTGATGTGATACCAAAGAAAAAAGAAAGGTAAGAGGAGACTTACTGACATGAACTTCAAGGAGTCCATCTCGGGATTCTCTCTAAAATCGATAACTTGGTTTTGAGCATTAACTTCGAAAATTCCCAATCCTAAATCTTCATCTCTTGAACTACTCAATACTGAGACAGTTATATTGGCTTTGCTGCTCCGATGGGCCTCTATAAGTTTCTGGTAATCCATTTTATAAAGGTGGTAACCAGGAAGGACTAGAAACTCAACAACCGGATACTCCTCGAGCACCCACAAACACCTTCTTATAGCATCAGCAGTTCCCTAAAGAATGTTGAAAACTCACATTGAAAGAAAAATTCAACAGCGTTTAATAAAGTTCATTCAACTGCAATGCTTATCATTTAACCTGAAACCAGTCCTGGTCTTCTGGACTCTGATATGCTGCAATAACTTCAACGAATCCCTCTTTCCCAAGGTGTGCCCCCGCATAAGCTCTTGAGAGGTGAGAATTTAGAGAAGTAAAGTTAAATTGCGTAAGAGCGTAGATTTTTGTAATGCTGCTGTTGATGCAATTGCTGACAACTGCATCAATTAGTTTGTAATTTCCTGATATAGGAATGGCGCCTTCTGCTATTCGCTTTGTCAATGGATAGAGTTGTGAATGTGAACCATCTCCGAAAACAATTGCTGCAACACTCTGAGACTTAAAACATGTCAATACATTTATAAGATACATCTATACTCAATAAATGACAACCCTTAAAACGTAGTAGAGAACAAAATCTTGAACTTGAACAATTATTACCTGGTTTGCTGGGGGGAACAGAAAAGTTGGGCATTCGTACTTCTGTGAATTTGTTATCGATAAACTTGAAGGAAAGGCTGGAAAGAGTTTTGATGCAGGTTTGTAACAGTTAGACGGAAGCCTAATATTGAGATTGAATGAAGCAGGAAGAGACATCAGATTAAAAGAAATGAATTGGTCGTATAATGATTGTTAGTTTTGTTCGCTTCTTCATCCCTCCATTAAGAATTTAAGAGGGACAGTTACAAGGGAATATTTAGGTTTCTTCTTCCTCATGGGATGAATGTCTGCTCATCAATCAGATACTAAGTAAAGTGAAGGCAGGCATTGTCAGTGCTTCACAATTCTTTTGCCCTTTATTTTAGCAGGAGATGGCTTGCTTAGTTCTAATGTTTCTCATAAAAAGACCATTTCGACCTTGCATTATTTGGATCTCGGGTTGAGTTTTTCCTTACTGTTTACATAAATAGAAAGAGCTCGTTATAACCAGGGAGAGGCAATACAGACCATACAGATTGGAGCTTTAAGGAATATACATTGAGAATGAGTGCGTACCAAGGTAGGCACTGCCAGCTTTTCATATGTTGTGATTTCTTTGTCACATAATCTTTGTGATAACGTGATTAATAAGCCTAA